AGAAAAAGCCTTCAGTAAGGCTTTTATTTATTCATGAACATTTATTCATGATAAAAACTCTACAGAAAATTGAAATAGATGGTCTTTACCTCAATATAATAAAGGCCATTTATGACAAACCAACAGCCAGCATCATACTAAATGGCCAAAAATTGAAAGCCTTTACTTTAAAATCAGGCACAAGACAAGGATGTCCTTTATCACCACTCCTATTTAATATAGTACTGGAAGTACTAGCCAGAGCAATTAGGCAAGAAAGAGAAATAAAAGGGGTAAAGATAGGAAAAGAACAATTTAAATTATCATTGTTTGCAGATGACATGATACTCTACATAGAAGACCCCCTAAGCTCCATTGAAAGACTCTTAGATACAATAAATAAATTAAATAATGTGGCTGGATACAAAATCAATACTCAGAAATCAATAGCATTCCTATACTCAAACAACAAAATCACAGAGAGGGAAATAAGAGAAACTGGACTATTCACATTAGCAAGCAAAAAAATGAAATATTTAGGAATTACTCTTACGAAAGAAGTGAAAGACTTATACAGTGAAAACTATAATACACTGAAAAAGGAAATTGAAGATGATCTCAGAAAATGGAAAGACATCCCTTGCTCATGGATAGGAAGAACAAACATTGTGAAGATGGCCATTCTCCCAAAACTCTTATACAGATATAATGCAATCCCAATAGAAATACCATCAACATACCTTATAGATCTAGAGAAATCACTTCTAAATTTCATCTGGAACCAGAAGAGACCTAGAATCGCAAAGGCAATTCTAAGCAGCAAAGACAAAGCAGGAGGCATCACAATCCCTGACTTGAAATTATACTACAAAGCAACAGTAGTAAAATCAACATGGTATTGGAATCAAAACAGAGCCGAAGATCAGTGGAATAGATTAGAAGATACAACCACAACTACAAACACACTCAACCACCTTATCTTTGATAAAGGAGCCAAGCAGGTTCACTGGAAGAACGACAGTCTCTTTAATAAATGGTGCTGGAAAAACTGGCTCTCCATTTGCCGAAAACTAAAGCTAGACCCATGTCTATCACCATGTACTAAATTAAAATCTAAATGGGTCAAAGATCTGAATATTAAAACAGAAACACTAAATCTATTGGAAGACAAATTGGGTAGAAACCTTGGAGACATAGGAGTAGGTAGAGAATTCATGAACAGGACTCAAACCGCACGGGAAATACTTCCCAGAATCAATAACTGGGACCACTTCTTATTAAAAAGTTTCTGCATGTCAAAAGAAATCTCCAGCATAGTGAAAAGAAAACCCACAAACTGGGAAAAGATTTTAGTGAACTCTCTCTCAGACAAGGGACTCTTGTCTAAAACATATAAAGAATTAAAAAAACTCAGACCTCCAAAATTCAAAGATCCAATCCAAAAATGGGCATCTGAGATAAATACGCAATTCTCAGATGAAGAAATGCAAATGGCAAATAAATACATGAAAAAATGCTCACATCATTGGTCATTAGAGAAATGCAAATTAAAACCACACTGAGATACCATCTCACTCCTGAAAGAATGGCCAGGATCAAGAAAACCAACAACAACAAATGCTGGAGAGGCTGTGGGGAAAAAGGAACTCTCCTGCACTGTTGGTGGGAGTGTAGACTGGTACAGCCTTTGTGGAGGTCTGTCTGGAGGTTTCTCAAAAAGTTGGGACTGGAAATCCCATTTATTCCAGCTATTCCACTTCTAGGCATATTCCCAGAAGAACTGAAAGCATCATACCACAGTGATTTATGTGCACCTATGTTTATAGCAGCACAATTTGTAATCGCCAAATCTTGGAAACAACCCAAGTGTCCATCAACTGAGGAATGGATAAAAAAGTTGTGGTATTTCTATACAATGGAGTGTTATTCAGCTATAAAGAAGGATCACATTGAGATATTTATCAATAAATGGGCGCAGCTTGAGACCATACTCATAAGTGAAATAAATCAATCTCGCATGTATGAATACCGAATAGTTTCCCTAATGTAAGTCATGATTCAAATATATAAAAAATATGTGGTAATCATGATTCCCCATTATGGGGCCTTGAAGCCTTATAAATTTTTCACTTATTAATTAGAAAGGCTTTATTCTGGGATTCTTGATATGGAAATATTTGAAGCTATAGTATATGAAGTTTTATCCAAATATTTCAAGGAAAAAGACAGACACTAGGTTAACCAGTATTCTTTAAAAAAATTATTTAGTTATTTCTTATATTTATTTTAATTAAGGGAAAAATTTTAAAAATTAGGATACATAATAGTAACTCTTTTCGATTTCCTATTAACTTGTTTTGAAATCCTGTAATACTCCCACGATCTTGTTTTGACTGATTAGACTCTGTTCCATTCTGTGCAATAGTATCAAGTCTCAGGGTATAGGCAACTACTTTGAAGGCAATAAGATTCACTAAGATGCCCATACTGGTTTGACTATTGTCTCCTTTGGAAGTCCTGTAAAGTTTACAATGCCTAAGTTTTATTGGTCTTGTTCTCTACTGTTTTGTCCAACTTTATAATATCTAATGAGATAGACAATTCTTTTTAAGGAAACAAGAGACAACGTTGATAACCATTGTTAATAACCTTGTACTCTGTTCTACATAATGTGCTATGTCTATCCTTGTTTTTGACTGACAGCTTTGTTTTGTCATATTTGACTGCATTCTCTCCCCCCAAAAAAGTAATAAGAACTAAGGAGTAATAAAATCCAAAATGTGTAAATTTTGTTGTAAAAAAGAGAGGAAGGAAAAAAAAAAAAAGAGCTCTAACGGATATAACAGCAAGTGTGTTTAGGGGTGTTAAATAGCTGACTATATTAATGTTTTTGAATCATTGAACACAGCTGTTTGCAGTCTCTCTGTTTGAATGTCTACTTTGTATTCTTTGACACTGTGATTTGAGCAACTGTTTCCAAAATGATAATATGTAATCTATTAACAGGTGATTTCTTACTGTTATGTTTTTTTCTTTTTTTGTAGTTCTGTATTATGTGTAACCTTACACTGCTTTGTTTTGTTTTGTGTTTTTCTCTTTCTCCTCTTAAAAAAAAATACTACACAAGCAACAAAAGGATAAAATTCTGTCATCTGCAACAACATGGATGGAACTTAAAAAAAGAAAATGATAATTTTATTTGAGTGAAATTAAGTCAGGAATACAATCTTCAGTACCACATAAGAATGGATCTATAGAGTCTAAAAGAGTTGCTCCCAAGAAGCTGTAAGCTGAATGATGACTACCTGCTGTGGGTGTTTTGAGATAGATAGAGGATGGATCAATAGATACTAACTTATAATTGGACAAAAGAGAATACTCTGCTATACTCTGTGTAATACACTACTGATAAATATGTACTGTACATGTCAAAGGGCTAGAAGATTTGACATGAAGAGAAATGATAAATCATTAAGGAGATAAATGTTTATTAAACTAATTAACATCTATAGAACATGATATAGTACCATATCGACAGGTACACATTTTATATTTTCATGATTAGTTTTAAAAATTATTCTAAAAAAACAAACTCACAAGAATACCAGCTGTGCAGAGTGGGTAATGTTTTTGCATAGCTCTGAAATTAATTTGCTATGGACTAAGAATATGAGAGTGTGACTATTAGCTACTTGTTTAAAGACTGAAATTAACCACAATTTTCAAAAACTACTAAACAACAAAAGAGGCAAAAACACAACCAACTGAAAAGAAAGAAAATACAAAGGAAGTTTAGAAATACTAAAAGCTTCAGAATAGAAAACAATAAAATGATGTTAAATCTCTCATAATTAGCCTTATTTACATAAAGTACATTTACCTACTCAAATGAATTCAGAAAGGCATTATGAATAAAAAATAAGATCCAGGGACATATTTTCTGTAAGATAGTTACCTTACTTTAAAAGTGACACACAGAGTAAAAGAATGAAAATACATATTTCAAACGAATGGTAGTCACAAGAAAACAATAAATATAAAAGTAAATCTCAAATATAAAATTGTGTCAAGGAAAAAACAGTAATTATATAGCAAGAAATCCATCCTGTTCAAGAGTAATAAATGTAAATGCACATATGCAGTATCAGAACATCTGAATACAGACAGCAAATATTAAAAGCTGTAAGGGAGAAACTGATAATACAATAATAGCATAATACGTCAATACCCTACAAGGGTATAAACAGGAAGAAACTGTGATTACAAGGACTTGAAGAACATTTTATAATAAACTAGTTTACCCTCCAATAGCAGAAAATGATACATTCACCCCAAATATATATAAATATATATTGATCTCAGGACAGGCATATCAGACCACAAAGAGGTATTAACAAATTTAAGAATGAAATGATTCTAAGAATTTTTTCTAACCAAAGCTACAAATTAAGAATGCAACTGAAAGAATGCAAAAATGTAAAAATAGTCAGTTTTGTTGAAAAGCCACAGGGTGAAAGTGCAAAATTAATGAACATTTGAGTATCTTGATACAAACAAATATAAAAACACACGATAACTAAATGAATTACAATGGAACAAAATAATTAATAAAGTTATAGCTGTAAACACTTATATTTTAGAAAGACTGTTCAAATAATAACTTACATCTCATGAAAACAAGACAAATTACAATGTCTTAATTTTCTTTTTTCAATTTAATTATTAGAACAAATAACAAATAGCTTTGAAATATTGTAAGTGTTTTAAGAAATGAGTTTTACCTGAGGATAGGGAAAATATGAATTCGTGGATTATTAATGCAAATGCATCTATTCTTTGTACCATAAAAATCTGAGTATTTGGAATGGAAAAAAATATTTTTAAATGTATATATGCATAAATTTTTGATAAGCTTTTGAACTACTCTGTCCTTTGATATCAATGTAAATCTTCAACGAATAAATACCAAAAAGGCATACCCCTCAAAAACTGGGACTACAATACTTATACAAGGTACTTACTTAATCATTTCAAAAAGTTTTGGATCTGAGATTTTGATATTTCGTGCCATATTCCAGGAAAGATGAACCATTGGCACTACTGACTTCACACTTTGCAATTTATTCCATTCATACCGTTCCACTGCCAACTTATACTGGCAGGCTAGGAGGAAAAAAAATGGATAAAATAACACAAAATAATACACAAGCAAAAGGAGAAAAAAAACTATAATTACATCTCAGGTGGTAATTCTGAGAAATCTTAAAACACTGCCCCAATATTATGCTTTAAAACAACTGTAATTTAAAACCATTACATCATATAAAAACTATTCACAAATTATGAGACATGATAATAGCCTGATTTTACAGCTTATATATTGAATTCTTTCAAAGCATTCTTGATTCTACAATCTGTTTTGTAAATGTCTAAACTGAGCACCTTAGGAAGAAAAAAAAACCTGCCCAAACTCAGAAAGTTAACAATGTTAACTAGAAGCCTTCCGGATCAAAGCTCAGATTCTTTACCTTTTGTGTATCAGTTTGAATACTAAGGCATGTTGTATGTCATGGTTTATGTCAGTGGCCTCTAAGCCTCATGCCTTTGCATTATGCATTTGTGATTGGTTCATTGTCAAGCGCTTGGATTGGGGTGTGAACTACACCGGCCTAGGGGTGGAGCCATGATCTGCTTTAATGGCAGGAAGAAGGTGTGTGTCTCTCTCTTACTGTTTCTGCCTTGCTGTTTGTAGCCACGATTAACTGCGGCCTTGCCATGCCGCCCAGCCTTGGAGCCAATTGAGTATGGATTGAAATCTCCAAAAACTGTAAAAAATAAACCTTTCCTTTCCCAACTTTGGGCATCAGGTATTTTATCTCTGCAACAAGTTAAAAGTAGCTAAATCGCTGTATAACCAATGTTGTAAAATAGCATGCCCAGGTTCCCAATATTACAAAAAATAAAAATAAAATGAGTAATGACTATACTTTACTCTTCTGTAATCTTTATAATTAGTGTCACTCCTGCCTCAGATTCCATGAGTGCCTGGAATATACTAATACTTGAAATTTGAATTTAATCACTGTAAGATTTCCCACTTTTAGTGAGTTATTTTCCAACTGAAAAGATAATACCTATGAGAAAGGATCCTTTAAAACATGAAAAATGTTACTTGATCATTTGAATTACCTGTCAGTGGACCAACATTCCAGGCAATATTGTTGCACCACCCAATAGCCTGAACCCAATGCACAGTGCCTGCATTTATCCACACCAAATCTCCAGGTCGCTGAATAAACCTATACACAGGAACATTTGCTTCATAAAGATCTTCAAGGTTGGGCCACCAAGAACTCATTAGGAAATTCAAATTATTTCTGGGAGTGAAAAAAAAAGAAAGAATGAATATGCTGATTTAATTGTTTTTAATGTTTTAAAAGTTGGGAAGATCATTTCACAAGTTTAAAATATGGCACCAACATCTACTCCATTAAATGCTCAATTACCAAATTGCTACAACTAGAACTGTTTTTTTAACAATAATGACTTCAATATAAAAGGATCAACACCAAGAATAATAAATTACATAAAAACTGGTTGAACTATGTCATACTACAACTTTCAACTTAATGTTCAAAAGTCAATGTTTCAAGTTACATTTTAATTTGTCAGTGACTTAACTTTTGTCTTAATGAGATTTTGATTCATTCCCAAACAATCTGCTGGTATTTACATGTGACCCATTAATCTGCACACATCAACTTCATTGGATTAACAAACACCCAGTACATTGGTAGACACATTACCACTTGTGTCTCGTGGGTTATGAAGGTATAAAGTCAGGTAACTATTCATAATCCCTTGTCCATTTCTCTCTCAAACTGCTTAACAGATCACCTTCCAGCCACCATAAACTATGCAGCATTCTTCTACCATTGGGATATTTCTACCCTGGAGGCTGTGGAAGATGTACAAATACATCTGAAACTATAAGATAAATTAAATCTTTCTTTTCAGTTTACAGGTATTACAAACTGAAACTACATTCTCATACAGTGGAAACACTAATTAACAACACTGATATATGAGAAGTGGGCTCATCGTTGGGCTCTATCTAACCAAGCTATATAAAAGACTTTGCATTGTTCTGTAGAATAACTTTGGAAAGGTGTGGAGATGCTGACTTCAGTACCCATATAATGTTGTAAGCAGAGCCTGATAGGTGATTCTTTTAGGAATCTGATATGAATATAGACAGGAAAGGCTAGACTCAGACAGTAAGAACAATTTTACTGGCAGTGAGACTAATAGCCGTTGGTGTTATTCTCTAGCATTTTGCACTTGTCTCCATTTGCCTAGGGTCAGAAACTTTGCAAGTAATTAACATTAAAGTCAGTCAAGTATCTGATTTAGTGGATGAAATTTCAAAATACCTCAACATTCAGATAACAGAAAGGGTAATACTGTTAGCTGTTTTAACTAGATTTTAAATGAAAATCAGAGGACAAGCAAAGCAGAAAAGAACTAAAACACTTAATTAAAATTGTGGCCCAAAAAGAAACACATGTAATAATGGGGTCAAAGAAGTATGGCTCCTAAAGAGTTTACCACTATTAAAAACAAAACAAGTACTTTGAACAAGGATAACAAAAAAGATGCCTTGAGGAAATCTCAGAAACCAGCCAAGTTCCCTCCTATTACAGACTCATAAGTGGAAAATGGTATGGTTTTCACTTATGAAGAGTCCCAAGAGGGAACTCACACCCTTCTGGAGCTCACATTTTTATCAACATGTGCCCAGGATGGTAGATATGCAGTTATAGGGCTTAAAGTTTATCCTGCTAGGTTTCAGTTTTGCTTTTCTATCTCTCCATCCCTCTTATTTTGGAATACTATGTAATGTTTAAAGTACCATGGCATTATATGTTTGTCATTTTTTTAGTGTTTGACAATTAAAGAGTCTGTGTTGAACCTCAGAATAACCTTAAGTTTTTGTTTGTTTTCTAAATGGAAAAAGCAATAAAAATAAAGATACAGAATTACAAAAACGTTACAGGAAATTGACAGTGATTAATACATTATGTACATTGTTGTTATCTTCAAAGTAGTTACAAAGATTGTAATATATACACATGCATAATTGATCAAACATGTTTCTTTTCAAATGAACTAAGGAAAATTCCGTGGTGTACATATTTTAGCTATCATATGTATAGATGATAGCTTTTCCTTTCCTTCTTTTCATCCTTTTACCCATCTTGGCTGTTTTTTTACTTTTAAGCTATTCTTTCCCTTTCACAGTATCATAGATTTTGGGTCTTACTTTTCCTGTTTCTTACACCAGGGAGACAATACATTGTTTACACATGTGGGTCTGGTTTATTTCACTTACAAGTATGGACTCTGATTATATCCATTTACCTATTAAAGCCTCAAGTTTATCCTTCTTGATGTCTGAGTAGTACTCTATTGTAAAAAAATACCACCTCTTTTTAATCCATTCCTCTATTCCACTATGGAACTGTTGTTTTTAGTTCTACACAGAATAGATACGTTAATAGATACGTTATTAAATCATTGTTACCTATCTTTTATTTGGCTTATTTATATTTTGGGTTTTCAATATAGGAGAAATCATTCAATATTTAAGTCTGTGTGTTTGACTTATGATCTCAAGGTGAATCTACTTTTTGTAAGATGATTACAGTTTATTCTTTACGGCACAGTAATTCTCTACATTACAAAAATACCACTTTCTTTATCCTTTCATCAAGATTCAGCTATTAGGAATTGTGTTGGTACATACATGAATGTGTAAAGTAACTATTCCAGAAAGATACCCGGCAGGGAACTATCCAGATCAAATGGAATTTCTAGTTTTAGTTTCTTGAGGAATCTTCACACCAATTTACCTAAACTGCTGCACTAGTTTACATTTCCACAAAACTGTTTAAGGGTTCATTTTTACCCTTCAGCCTTGCTAGCATTTGATTTCTAGACAATACATATTCTTTCTGGAGTAAGAGAGTATCTTAATGTTATGTTAACTGGTATTTCCCTAATGCAATGATTAATACTTTTAATGTATATACTTCACATTGGTACTTCTCTATCTGATTCATATCTATTCATTTCAGTAGTCCTTTTATTTTTTAAAAGAAAATGGGTCTGTTAGTTGGAGGGTGAAAGGACTTTGCACTAGGACACTACAGCAGTGGGAGGTGGGACCAAGGGTCGTTTACCTTGAGGTCATTTTCCCCACCCTGAGGGCAACTTTCCTGTGGTGCTTTTTAAGAGTTCAAATATATACATGAAAAGTATATACCTGTACATCAGCGATGCCACCTTTACGCACCACCCCAGACAAAAGCTATATGCATGCCCTCCATACCACGTGTCCAGCAAAGAAAGCAGACCCCGATGATTATGCAGTTTCACTCCATGTTTTTAGAATAAAGGCCATGTTCTCTCTATAACTGTGCAGAAAATCCTATCATTTGGTTCCCTGATGGGGAAAGGCAGTGTGAATGACTCCTGGGGTCCTCTCAGGTTGAGTCTCTCTGCCAATTCACAGACTGGACCTCATTCTGGAATTCTTCATTCTAACATGCAGGAGCTGCTCAACTTGTCACCGCTGGCTTGCAAACACCATCGGCCCAATTCATTTACCGTAGATGAGCCAACCTCAATCTGAGGGTTTCTCCATGACCGTGGGTCAGTCCCACTCCAGATTACCCATTCTGTCCCTGGACTGAGGTAGCAGTTCTCACTTTCCTTGGAGGCAGAACCATTACTGTGGTCCTCCGGGACTCCACCTATCCCCTTTTGGTGATGGCCAGGGGTTACAAGTTGGACTTTATATTGTCTCTCTTTGACCGAAGCAAAAATCATACCATTTGGTTCCCAACTTTTAAAAAATTCTTTATATATTTTAGGGGTCAGTTCTCTAAGAAATACTGTAGTTAGCAAAAATCATTTCCTTTTCTGAAGGTTGTCTCTGCCATTTATTCTTTTGCTTGCACGACAAAAGCTTTTAAATTTGATATGATCCCATCTCTTAATCCTGGGTACTATTTCTTATGCTGTTCAGCAAGATCTTTTTACACCTATGTCTAAGAGTTTTATGTATTTTACCATCCAGAAGTGCTTCTGTTTTAATATTTGTTCTTATGCATTTTGATTGTGTTTAGTACACCATGAAAGAGTTTGGTGTGGATTCAATCTTGTGCATATGGATAGCCAATTTTCTTGAGACATTTATGAAAACAGCTATCTTTCCATCAGTGTATATTTTTGGGTCCTTAGTAAAGGGCAAAGTATTTGATTTTTCCCAGGGTTATTTCCATATCCTCTGTTCTGTTTCATGGATCTTTGTCTCTTTTTGTGCCCATACCATGCTGTTTCATGGAATACACTAATGTAATCCATAAAAAAATGTAGTGAGACACTACTATAGATTAAGAACTGATGGTCAACTTAATGCAAGGTGAATTAAATCACTATGGTGCTGAGCACAGATATTCCACTGAGGAAAGTTGCCAGGATAAACAGAGATGTAGAGAAGGAGAAGTAAGACATTAAGGTGTTGAGACATTGTACAGGCATTGTGGATTCTCCTATGTATTGCTGTTTGCTGGAGAAGCTCTGGTTTGCACATCAAGCATTGCTTCCTGGCTCCAGAAAGGAAGATGTGTGCTGCTTCTTCTCCAGGATAAACTCATCACACTGACTTCCTGGCATATACTCAACTGTGCTTATTGTCAGTGGGGTTTGGGACCTCTGTGTCACTTATGACAGCTGTGGTGCTTTTCAGGACAGCCCTGGTTTTTGTTTTGAGCATGACTTCTTGATTCCAGTGTAAAACCCTCAACCTACTGGCACAGCTCCTTCACCCCAATGGCATAGCTTCCTATCTTCCATCACTGACTTTTGGGTTACTAATTAATAAATTACTAATTCCCAGCACAGATCTGTGAAAGAGACTCACATGAGTCCTTGTGGGCTCTAGTCCTCCAGTTGGACTCAAGGGAGGCTCTGGACATTGCTATGGGATTCAGGCCCTAAGCTAAATATTCTATGTCTTTAGTGTTGTGGACAGATTTCTTTTATTAACTTTGGGTGACCATCATAAAATAATATTATAAACTCCATGCCCTGATTTTAATTATTCTTCTCACAATCCCTGACTACAACAGACAGTTTACATAACACTTTTATTAAGAAAAAAATTTGTAGTCGAAATTATTTCTAAAGTTTTACAACATGCTCTTTGGTTTCTATTTGTTCTTTAGAAGTATGAAAAAGAATGTTTTGGAATATGAAATATTATTCTTTGTAAGCCTAGTTGTGAGCAATAAGCTCAAACATTCCCAAATTCAAAACCCAGTTGGACAATTTAGCAAAAAACTATTTTAAAAAGGAAAGAAAAATAAATAAACCCAAACTAAACTAAACAACTAAACTACATTTTAAAAATGAAACCAAGTAAAAATTGAAAATGGAGCTCAGTACAAAAGCCCTAAGCTCAGTCCTCTTATGTAAAAAAGAAGGTAAAGGTTTAAAAATAAGGAATAAAGGCTTTAGTGGGTATACAAAAGACTGGCAAGTGAAATAACAAATTATGTTTTCTCTAAAATTCTAGAATTGTGATTAAAATTCAAATGGCAGACAAAGTGGCATAAAGAAGGAAGAAGATATGGAAAACTTATAAGCATTTCACATAAATCTCAGCCCCAATTTACCTATACTACAAAATTTTTTAAAGGAGGAAAAAAAAAAAAAGAACCAAGCAAGATAAATCAATGAAAGATTAAAGATCAATTGGTTTTTAAAACTTCAAAACAGTTAATACTCATATGGTTAGGTCAATTTTTCATGTCCATATCTGGTCATCTAAGCAACTCTTTTGAATATAACAGTACGCAAGGGCTGGGGATTTAGTTCAGTGAAGTTGTGAGTTTGATCCCTGTTTCCAAAAAAAAAAAAAATTTTAACAAGGGTTAGGAATGTGGCTTACAGGGAAAGTAGCTTAATATGAAGGCCTTGAATTCAATTCCTGGTATCACACCAAAACAAAATTAAAAATTTAAAAATCACAATAAATAAAAAACAATATGCAGGATTGCATCTTTAGGTTCCTATCAGCCTGTTTGAAAGACTATACTATTATTCTTTTAAGGTTTTTTGTTGCTCCTGTAATAGTTGTTTGCATGTCTCTTGTTTTTTTTTTTTTCTGAGCTTTTTTTTTCTCTATTTAAAATAAAACTTCAAAACGGTGATTTCTGCATAGAATAATACATTCACTAAAGAAATTACTAATTTCAGGAGGCATAATCCATATGGAAGTAACATTATAATAAAAATTTTTATCTAGCATTTTAAGTTAGGAAAAATAAATCTTTTAATCTCAAAGTAATTAACAAGGATTTTTTCATATTACCTTTCATTTTAACCTTTTTTAAAATTTCAAAAAGAATAAAATGATACAGAATTTGAAAATAAAATAATAGGAGCTTAATATATTATGTATTATTACCCTCACAGTAATTGTTTGGATTACAATATTATAAGACCCAGATAAAATAAGAATTATTTTAACTTACTATTTTTGTGACTTCTAAGCTCAAATTTTTAGATGCTGCCCACACCTTTGTAAAATTATACTGTGCTATTAGGAAAACTTCAGCTTGACAATGGCCAGTTTCTGGTAAGAAATTAGAACAAAAGTACTACTTATAAGATACAATTATGAATTTTTTTCTGTACTTGAATGGAGATTTCCCATATTACATTTCTTTTCTTTTCTTTTCTTTTTTTTTTTTTTTTTTTACTGAAAGCTACCAGTGTCCAGATATCAAAAAATAAAAATAAAAATAAAAATACAGGCCAAATTAAAGTATTTATTGATAAATGCTAACTTAAAAAAAAAACAAAACCTCCTTTCTTAAACTGAAGAAACTGAAGAAACATAAATTACATAACAGATTTGAATATGGCATTTTTGGTAGTATGAAGTAAAACATGAGTTATTGTTAGAACCATAACAGCATACCATGTATTTCAGAGTTACAAAAAGTGATTTTGAGTATTTTCAGCACAAATACTAAATAACATTAGATATTTAACCTGAGTTGGTATATACAATATATGTATGTTTTGAAAAATCATTATGTACTCTGTAAATATTAATGGGTCAGTCTGTCACTACAGTCTATTCATGCTTGGATTGTAAAAAAGAAACCTTCCATATCATCAGCCTGTTCATGCTTGGGCTACAGGCAAAGAAAGTTCCCAAAACTGTGTAAACACAAAAGTCACCCTGGGCCAGGAGGGTACCTGATGATGACCATGTCACACTCTGCTACGAGCACCTCACTCACCTGCAGAGACCCCTCCCCACTAGAACAACCCTTAAAAACTTTTTTCCCAAGCCAAACAGCAGAGCTGTCCAAAAGGCAGTCCTCCCCCCACTCAATAAAGCTTTTTTCTCACAGCAGAATATCTGGTCTGGCTTCGCATGGATTTTGTTCCATCAAATATGTTTATATTTCAATCACAAATTTTTTTAAATTACACAAAGGAAATGCACAGCTGGGGATTTAATTTGGTAGCATAGAACCCTCTTGGTGTAGATAAAAACCTAGATTCAACTACCAGCATCCTCTATTTTCCTCTAAAAAAGTCACTTTGTGGAATATCCATATGAATTCATTTTGAAGTAAATCTCACAATGAATAATGAGAATTCTGTCCAATTTTTATCATATGTTGTAAGCATACAATAAATTTGTGACGTACTCATTTGCATATTCAACCTTTCTTACTATTCACTCTGAAAAACGTATGGAGTTGTTTTGTTATAAGACACTTATTTTAAGCTAAAAAACAAAGCTTTACATAAGATTATGCTATAAACAAACTACAAGGGCAATTAATTTCAGAGGTCGTGACATTTTTGAAAAACATATGCCTTTCTTTTTGAAGGACGTTTATCAAATTATGTATTAACATGTTGATTTTTATCTTAAGCATTTTAGAAAAATAATTTTCTGGGGCGGGGATTTAGCTCAGCGGCATAAGCGCCTGCCTTGAAAGCAGGCAGTCGTGAGTTCGATATCCAGTATCGAAAAAAAAAGAAAAAGACCAAAAAAAAAAAAAAAAAAGAAAGAAAGAAAAATAATTTTCCATCCCTTTGACTTGTATTACTATGAGAAGCTGGTTTCATTAAGTGTTTAACATACTTGTCAAGCATAGAAACTTTGAAATCAAATTATTTATTGCTACTTGGCAATTATGTGAAGAACAACAGCAGCAGCTTCATTTAAAAAGGGGGGTGGGGCTGGAGATTTAGCTCAGCAGCATAAGCGCCTACCTTGCAAGAAGGCAGTCTGAGTTTGATCCCCAGTACTGATTAAAAAAAAAAAAAAAAAAGCTTCACACTTTGTCCCTCCCTCACCACTACTTTCTCAAAATTATGTTTAAAAAGTGTTTAGTTCTGAAACATACTTTTCACAGAAGTCATTCAGAACACCCCAGTAATCTTCAGGCACAACAAACCATTCACAGTCACCTGGACCAATATTTATGTTTACAGAACAGAAGTTGTTCTTTTCTTGGTGACCTAAAAAGGAAAAGGAAATGAAAGCCATGAGTACACTCTAAATTCAGTGAGTAAATGTCGTGAAAAACAACTGTTAGGTTTTGAAAAAGAAGGAAAAATTCCACATAGAACAAGGGCAGCGAATTAAATAGCATCATTTCATCACTGATTATTTCTTTTATCTCCATAAACTAAAAAATATTATTTAAAGAATTAAACCAGGATGGTGGCTTATACCTGCAGTCCAGTGGACCTTTGTTGGAGGTTATAGAAAAAGAACAGCAACTTGTAGCCCAGTCTGGTAATTTATGAACTTAATAAGGCCTATCTCAAAATTAAAAATAGAAATGCCTGAGTTATAGATCAGTTTGAAGACCCTGAGTTCAAGAAGAGAAAGAAGGGACAGGGGTTTAACTCAGGAATTCAAGCACTGCTTGTTAAGTGCAAGGTCCTGCATTGGATCCTAGATACTCTACCAAAAAGATAAAGAAAGAGAAGGAGAATGGAGAGAAAGAGAGGAGAAGGGAGAGAAACAAACGAGAGAGGGAGGGAAAAAGGGAGAGGAGAGGGAGAATTCTGCTGTAGTTTCAAAATATTTCTGATAAATTCAACCTAAAACTTATGAATAAAGGACTTACATATAAAACTTACACTACCATAACCCTATTTTAAAGATAAAGGAAAGTTCTCAAGTGAAAATTAGTATCATGTTCTTTTATAAACTTCAGTTCCTATACTATCCAAAACAAAGAGAAAGGTGAATCCTCATTCCACACTCATTTGGAACATACAATTTATGTGCTCAAACTAAGTATTTTCAAACTTTCTGGAGCCTAAATGAAAACACACCTAGAATTCAACTATAAGAATTAAACTACAGACTTATCAAACAAACAAAATATCAAATAATCCCATAAACCCTTTCAATAAATTCCTGTGGTTAAGTAAACATGCTTATTAAATGTCTTCAGAATCGGGCAGTAACAGTTCTTATCAAAGGAGATGTTCAAAAATTCTACAAAATGAATTTCATAATGCATATTAATAGCCAGTTTTGCTGATATGGAATGCTAATTCTGAACCTAAATGAAATGAAATGTTATTTGCCACCACTCTATCAAAATTGTACTTGTTGCATTAAGAGATGAAAATTGTGTTAAAGTCCTTTTTATTTTTATTGCCAGCAATTAAAAATTATAGAAACCAGTTCCCCTGTTTTTATATGTTTCTCATTTTATTCCTTGACATTCAAAGTACAATGTTTACTATGCAGTCCTTTAAAGAACTGTTTGCTCACTCCTATAATAGAAAAGTTTTGAAATTCACTTCTTCAAAAAATAAGAAAATGGAACACATGAGAAAATAATAGTATATCATGTATTTTAAATGTCAATGAGATTTTTATTGTATATGGTTTATGTAAAGTAGCACATAATATAATCTGGTTCTTTTTCACTGGAAATATGGCAGTGAACTGAAAAATACTATAAGCTTTCAGAGAATGAACTAGAAAGTTATTGTCATACTTCTTCCTTCCTTAAATGACCCAGCATGATCTTTCTCAATTTAAGTTAATATATTTTTCTGCTATTATACATATAATTAAAAATACATCAGGAAGACAATAGCCTGAGCTCATTCATAAAAGCTATAAACACTTTTAATCAATGAAAAGAATGTTAAAAATTACCCTAGCTTTCTTAGTTACAAATGGGAAAATGTCTGTGTATCTTCAAATTTGATTGATTCTACTCTTTCAACTATACCAAGTATATTTTAAAAAAATCACCTGGTGTTCTACTCCCTGGAACTTTCATGTATAGTTGAACTGTATTCATACCCAATATAGGATGACCAACATGACTTAGAAGGTTTCCTGCTGATACAACACGCACAAAAGCAGGAAGTTTAGTCAGCTCATGTAACTGTAACTTCCATCTGCAATAAAACAATGAAGTGTGAATAGTAGTAAGAATTAACCAGATCCTCAAAATTCATGATTCAGTCAAAATAAGTGACACCTATAAAGGTTATCTTAATCAAGTGATATAAATGTTAAATTTTTTCCAAAGATAAAAAGTTCTAAAAGAGAAATTACTGAAATTCATACAATTTTATAACCTAGGAAATTACATAAACATTGTATTAACTTTAAATTTGTAAAAATTAGATTTGACTTCCTTCAGAAAGAAAAAGCCTATACTTTAAAAATAAGTTTGAAATGTTAATTTTTTTTTTACTTATGGATTTATGTTTTTGAGACAGGTGTCATAAGGTATTTAATGTTGGCCTTGAACTCACAACATGACCAGGCTGGCCTTGAACTCTGCAATCATCCAGCCTCAACCTCCCAAGAATCAAAATTACAAGACATGCACTGCAAAGTTAACTTAAAATTAAGTTAAGATTTTTAACCAAAATCTATATGCCAGTACAGGAGGGGAAAAGAAACAAAAACCAGGAATAGAAACAAATAGGAAACTAGATAATTCCCAATTCCATAAATCCTTTTTATTCATTTCATGGAAATAGCAGAGAAACTGGGAGGCTTACTTTTTCTTATCAGAGAGGTCAATGTTGGTCCCAAATTTTATGGTTTTAAAAGGTCCTTTCCTTCTCTTCCCAGAACTAAAAAGGTAAAAGAAAAAAAGAAGAAAGATAAGAAAAAGAAGAAGAAAAAAGACAATATTAAAACCATGCCTAGCAGAAAAAAGTACTGATAGTACCTAAAAATTACTTACATATCTGAAGACGTAGATTCATTATCTGAACAGTCTTTCAGTTGTGTTTTTCTCTCATTTTCTTCCTATAAAGAAAAATATCTACACACTTAGTATTCTCTAAGAGGCTAATTCTGTAATACAAATAAATCAATCAATCATTTGCATGACAAATAATGCCTCTGTCTTAAAAACAGATTTTACAGGTATATTCCATAAAACATATTTTCAGTTATCATATTAAATACATAGGAATAAAAATGAAAAGCTCCTTACATAATATTCAACATTCTGTATTACCACAAATTAATATTACAAAATTTATCTGGTCTAGCAGAGATTCCAAATGACAAGGGAACACCTCCTTTAAATGATGCCAAAGAAATTTAAAAGACAGCTAAAACACACACAATAATATGCAAAAACTGACACATTATCATCAAAAATATAACACTGAACCTCTATTTTAGTATTGAAAAAGATTATTTACTTTTTGCCTTTAGACTTTGTGCTACAAGAAGAAAATCTGTAGATTCTTAATTTTTTTCTAAATAGGAGAAAATAAAAAATTAAAAATCAGTGATGTATCTGACAATGAAGAAATGTTTATTAAAATGTTGGTACATACTGTAAATTAGCAGAAGTATGATGCTTCTACATATAGAAAATCCACACTTTATAAATATACAAACTAAAAAAATTCAGATCTTTTATATTTGGGTTTAGGGTTACTGTTTCTTCCTTGTTGCAACCATATTAACAAAATTAAGGATTTCAGAAAGAAGTTTTCACAAGCAAAGTCTTCCCAACATAAACATGATATTTCATTATCATTAAAGAAAATCAAATATTGAATATAGAAATGTTTTTTAATAAGGATATCAAGATTATGAGAACCACATAAAAGTGAACGTGAAAAACAGACTAATATCATGTGGAAAAATAAGCTCAGGATGAATCCCTACACAAAACAAAAACTAACACTATGTGGGCCAAAGATTTAATTCAGTGGTGTAAGAAGCATTTGCCTCATAAGTGCAGGGTCATGAATTCGATCTCTTGTACAAAAAAAAAAAAAAAAAAAAAAAGGCTAAAATTTTTATAAAATTTATAAATCTGTTCCAAAGGTTACTCAATAGTTTTTAGCATGCATAATTTTAAAATTCAACAAAAACAAACAAAAACATCAACTTTAAAACCTCTCTACTGTGAGGATACCATGAAAAAAGAGAAAAGCAAAGATAACATAGTATAGAAAAAGCATACGCCAAAAAAATTTTAACAAGAATATGCATAAAGCCTCCCTGCATCTCTCATGGGACACCGGGGAGACACAAGATGCCAGCCTTTTCGTCAGACTCAGTGCCCGTCTCAGATTTCAGGGGAGAAGAAAAGGATGTCACCAAGAAGCAAGCCCTTCCTGCAAATCTGCACATGCATAGACCACCAGGGGGACAGCCAGATACCAGCCCCTTCTGGTAAGCAACTAGGAAATAAGAGCCAACCCCAACCCCAACCCTGTAAGGGACAGCTGATTCAGAGAAACACAGGCTGCCATGATAGCTACTGAAAGGCAATTTGATACTTGCAGTGTTTGGTATTTCAATAACTATAGATCTAGGGACTATCCATAGGACAACAGTACTCAGTGTGGTATGTATGGGGGATCTTCATTTTCATTATTGTGTTTGGTTGAATTCTGTTTTGTTTTGTTTGATTTTGTGATTTCCAATGGCTTGGACAGTTATTTCAAAGATTACAACATATATTATGGTAGCCATTTTGGATTTATCACTGTCATATTTTGAATTTTTTTACTGCATTCACTTTTTGTTTTTATTGGTTCTATTCCATTCTGTTTTGTATAATTTTTACCATATCTGAAGATATCTGCAGTTATTTTGAAGACAGCAGGCAGTATTATGGTAACTGTTGTTGATTTGCTATTTGATGTCCTATGTCAGTCATACTGGCTTATTATTATTAGCTTTATCCTGATTTATTTTGCTTGGTTTTATTCTCTTTAAAATAAAAATAAAAACTTTTTTAAAAAATATACACAAAAACCTTTACAACTTAATATTAAACATAAATATTATAGTTAAAGAAATTAAATGCACATTTAATGAAATATGCAGGTGGGTAATATTTCAATGAAAAGATGCTTAATGGCTTGAAAATGTAAAAAGGAAAAAGACAAAAAAAAAAAAAAAAAAGAAGATATATGATTTGGCTTGTGTTTAGATATCCCCATCAAAGCCTCGTGCCATCATAGAAGGGTTTTTTACAGAGCTGGAGAGATGTAGTGTATGACTGATTTGTGGTTCAAATTAGGATTAAGGGTTCTAGGACTAAGGGTGTGAATGTTTTCTGTCTTAAGACTGGATAGCCTGGATATAATATAAGACAGTGGAAGAGGGTTGCAGCTAATTACTTGTAGCAGGTGACCAGCTTACTTGCTCTTGCTGCCTTCTGCTCACTATGGACTGTTTCTTCCCTCTAATATCCCTCTGACATGCCAACCTGCCTTGAAGCTGGAATGAACTAAGGACAGAAACCTCTGCAAACTGTGGGCACATATCTGTATTTTCAGGGGTTTTTGTTTGTTTTTGGGATCAAACTCATGACCCTGTGCTTCCCAGCAGGCACTTATGCTACTGACCTAAATCGATGGCATGCCTGTATTTTCAGCACTTGGGAAAATGAGGCTGAAGAATCTTCAGTAAGGTCAGGGTCTGCCAGAACTACAAAACTCTGACTCAAAACAAAACAAAAAACACAAAGCAAAGCAAAGCAAAACAAAACAAAACAAAAGCATCTTTCTTTCTTTTCCTGTGTGTGAGGTATTTTATCTCTGCAACAAGCAAAGTAAAGGTCTGGGGATCTATCTCAGTGGCATTTTGTTACTTCGTCAATTTGAGATATATATCCATGTCAATTTGAGAAGTTTAAAAATTTAACTAAGGGAACCAGGAACTTTACTTTTTAAGTATCACTAGCATGTACAAGAAGGGCATAGAAATAGTGTGAAGGGTCTAGTGGCCTTCATGGAGGATAGCCTGCTCACAATATAATGGGGGTAAAGAGTTTTGTGCTTCTGCCACCTTGAAGCACTGCCTCTGTGCCTTGCCACCCTACCTTAGAGCCAAATGATTACAGACTGAAACCTCTACAAACAGTGAGCTAAATAAACCTTTCCTGCTTTAATATTGAGTGTTGAGTATTGTGTTCTGGCAACAAAGAAAAATAACCAAGAGAATCACTAAAAATAACACTATATTATTCCATTTATTATTTATTATTATTATTAACACTATATTTTTCCATTTAGTGACATATCATTAGAAGGTTAGCCACACAAATATGATACAACATATGGCTAGCATGGAAGGAGTCCTGGATACAAAATCCAGCACTGTGTAGGTAAAAGTAATTGGTAAATTGTAGGCTGGGTGGGTTATTTAATTGAAGTAATGTTAAAAAAAAAAAACTGGGGAGAAGCTAAAAATGGCAGATCAGTACATAGCAAATACAGAGCCTCCCTAGAAGAAACAACTCAGATGCCAGAAGAAAACATCCTTGAGAGGATGAGACAGAGGGAGATGGATCCTCTCGACCCAGGAAGAAACTAAAGGGAAAAGAGCCAGTCAAATGTGAGGTGATGGTGCCACCATCAAAGCAGCTCAGATTCATGGCCACAGTGCTCTTCTAGAGCCACTTCAACATGCAATTGCGGCATGCTCACTGCCAGAGCAGTGAAGTCAGAGGCAGTGGTCACGCTGAAGTCAGAGGCCAGTGAACCCAACAGAGAATGGAGCTGGCATGGAAACCTGCTCTAACTCACACTAACTGCTTAGAGTAAGACTCTCCCACAAGTAAGGGGTGACCAACTGACAACATGTTGGAATTGGGCAGGACAGGCATAAACTAGGAACAGCAATGATCTTAGTTGATTATTCCTTTCCCAGAGCAGATTGGTTGGATGTGCTTGGCCTGTGTCACACCCCTGGCTGGGATCCAAACCAACTCCATATGCGCAGCACACACTAACATGGTTAAGGCCCCAGCTGGTTGACTGGCCTGGAGGAGAGGGTCTAGCATATGCCGCCCCTGCTTGCACCTCAATGATCAACAACAAACTGGTAAGAGCAGAAATCCCTAACCAACGCGCTTTGTTAGTAACAAAACCAACAAGGTAAGGGGCTGGGACCTCCACTATACACCTGTGTGGAAGAAGCCAAAATCATGACAAGAGAAAGAAATAAGAAAAAGTCCCTAGGCCCCAACCCTACAAATATTGGTACAGGAGAGGTAAATACAGAAGAGATTGAGGACAGCAAACATGCAATATCAGACACGGCTTCAGCGGACATAAAGAGATATCTTTGTGACATCATAGATGAGCTCAAAACTGAAATATCAATTCAAGTAAAGCAAGATATAAGAATAACAATAAAAGAAATGCTAAGCACCTCTCAAGAAGACATGGATGGAAGAATGGAGGAACACAAAAAGAAGGAAAGAAATGTTCAATTAAGAATATAAACAAAACCTAGAATACCTGAGACAGATTCAAAGAGATTACCAGTAAATTAAAAGCTCCATCAAAAGCTGGACAAATTGCCTGAAAAAAAACTAGAGACAGATTAACAAAATCTGAAGATGGGTTTGCAACGTCTGGTCATGAAAGGAAAGATCTGTTAAAAGTAACAAGGAAACAGACAATAACATACAAAGTCTAGAAGACAACAAGAGGATCTATAATTTAAGAATAAAAAATGTGAATGAAAAAGCAGAGGTAAAACAAAGGAAATACAAAGGCTATTCACAAAAATAATTAAGGAAAACTTCCCAAGCATAGGAAAAGGAAATGATATTCAGATACATGAGGCATACAGAACTCTAGCCAGCTACAACCAATACAGATCTATACCCAGATGCAATAATCAAGATCCCAGAAATTCATAACAAGAACATAATATTAAAAGCTGTCAGGGAAAAGAAACAGATCATCTATAAAGGAAAACCCATCACAGCAGACTTCTCGACACAAAACCATCAAAGCAAGAAGAACTTGGAGTGAAGT